AGTAAAATTAAAATTTCGAAACATATTGCATTTATGGCAAAATATGCTTAGGAGGGGCATAGAATTAACATTTGCCTAGAGCGGTAAATTGTCCCGGGCCGGCCCTGAATGATCACGTGACGTTTGCATGCACGATAAAGATGCGAGAACCCTAATCATGACCGGCAAACAATCTCTTTATTACCAACAAGTCGATATTTATCCAAATATTAGATATGCAATTATCTTAAAAACAAGAACACATTCAATATTTTCATGAATAAGGTCGTAATGTGGACACTTGAAAACACCAAATTTTACTAGGATGTCCATGACAAAAAAAAATGTGTAAAGCTCTAATATCATATTGTTTCCATCTATTCCAATGTGATATATGTGATAAAATAATCTCCACGGTTTTTAGGAAAGACATTTTCGTGGGAATGCAATAATTTGTTTTGTAGTGACATAGTGAATATAGTGAATATTCAAGCTTTATAAGCAAAAATAAACTATTAAATGATGTATTGATATTTTCCAGCTTTTATATTTCCTAGAAAATTATGGCATACTTTTACAAAGCCACTTTGTTCGAAAGTCAATTAAAAACTTGATCCATCCTAATCTCGAAAATCTGGCGGTCTACACATTTTTACAGGCTTACGGCATTTTATACTCTTAAATTATTAAGATTGCTTACGTATAAAATAAATTTTAAATTCAAATTTGATATCTGTTAAAAAAAACTTAATTCTTGCTACAGTAAATATTTTTTTACACGGCAGATGTAAGGTCCTATGCAAACCATGTATGTGTAAATTTGGGGATCCGTTCCAAAACCTTAAAAAACCGTGTAAAATGAAAAAAGGTCATATATTTTCTAAAAAAAACCGTGAAAAAATTGATATTAAACTCCATTAATTAACGACAGAAGAAAATAACAATAAATATAAAAAAATTAGAAGCAGTTGCAACTATGTATATTCACTTGAATTAGATATTGTCGTCACCGCCGGTAATGCAGTGGGACGGTATTACAGTATTCTTGTTTGAAACTTCATTACTGTAGTGCTATATGGCGTTGAAGTAGCTAAATTTTACGATTTTTTTACAAACAATTTTTTTTATCTTTCTTAATTTTTTTTTAATAAAAAGTACCCAATTTTACTTCTAATACCTTCAGGAGTATAAGTACAAAGTTTCATGATGATCTGTTAAGAAGTTTTTGCGTGAAAGCGTAACAAACAAACTAATATTCGCATTTATAATATTAGGTTGTCAAAAAAGTCTTGCGGTATTTTCGCTAGTTGGCGCTGAGAGCACGTAGTTCTAGTTTTATTCGTCGCATCGAGTCATGCTATACCTTTTTGGAAAACTCATTTCATGTGATAACACGTGTTTTATTGATGTCGTTTCTTTCAAGTTTTTCGTGAGTTATAGCGTCGCAAACATGGAGCAAAATAAAGAGAAACTACGGCATATTTTACAGCACTACTACGATAAAGGCAAAAATGCATCTCAAGCCGCCAATAAAATTTGTGCAGTTTNCAAGCAAATATTCACTCCCAGAGTCCTCAAAATCAACGTCCGAGTCTGACTCTTCAGACATACGACGCTCAATATCCTCCTGAGTTAGATACCTTTTCGTCATCTAAAAAGCATATTGGGACAAGTAATCCCACGTAAAAAACTTATTGGGATAATATGTCCCAATTTTATAAAATGAACTCTAACTTACCCTATAATAGCAAAAAAAACACCACTAACCAATTAAATGTAACAAACCGAACACTTTTTTGTGCAAACAAATGCAAATTTTGTTGATCACGCTTTTATTTCGACCGATTTCAACAAATTAGTGAAGACAACTGATCAAATTTCACGTATATTGCGAAATACTTTGTCATGTGGCGTCTATGCGCTTAAATCTACCGCTATCTTTTTGTTTACAATGAAAAATATACACTTAAATCTGTTTGTGGGACTAATTATATAGGCAATCGCATGCGCAGTAAAGAAAATACGAAAGTTAGAAATTTGGTGGGATGTATTATCCCAGTAGTCCCGAAAGGGTTAAAAATGTATCAGCTGCTTAGTCCCCGTTAGGATGGCGAGGGTTATCAGTGTTGTCGTCGACGTCATCTAACGTCAAGCGCAGGAAACGTTCCGGGGTCGGACCAAAGAGGTGGTCAGTGTCATGCGGAGACTCGTTGCATGCAGGACATAAATTGGGTATGTCAGAGTCTATTCTGGATAAGTAGGAGTTTTTCGTCCAGTTTGTAAAAATGATCGCTGTGGATTTGGTGGAGGAAAGTGTGAGGTTTCGTGCAGTGAGGAAACGAGAAAGGTCGGAGAGGTAGCTGTTCACTTTCGAACACATGCCATCGATTCCATTGCGTACGAGGTTATGGAAACGTCCCCTGGTGGCTGCGGAAGTTTCGAGATGTAGAGTTAAACAGCTGCGAGGATCGTTCTCTCCCAGGGTGGTTTCTGGTGGAGGCCAAATTTATGACGCTAAGTGCTGTGGTGGTGCTGTGCACTTTTCGGAATCCATGCTGGTGGCTGTCTAGGCTCAGGTGGTGAGTCAAGGTCGGGAGTAGCAAGGTCTCACTACTGGGGAGAGGAGAGTTATCGGTCGATAAGGTTCCCCTTTGTTGTCAGGTTGCCCAGGTTTCAGTAGTGGGAACACTCTTTCGACTTTCCACACATCGGGTATTTAAACCTGAACCTCCTCATCGGAGAAAGTAAGTGGCGCCCAGTTGTTCGGCATTTTGGAGTTAACACATCGTTTGACTTTGTCTACCGAAGGGTGCAGTGTAAACTGCCGGCTAAAGTAGCTCGCGCATTTCTTCGGGTCCGAAGATACATGACCATTGAATTGAACTTCAACTCTTCCCGTTAGACAAAGCTTTGACAGTAGCCCAAAGCTAACTCACACCGGTGGAGAGGTTGCAGGACTTCAGGTGCTCTATCAATTTCGTCCGCTTATGATGGTTTACCATACGCCGAATTTCCAAATTGAGATCCCTTATTCGGGGATCCCCGGGATCGGCATGGCGTAAGGTGTCGMSCTCGTTAGCTAAAACGGCTGCTTCGGCTGGGAACTTGGGGCGGATTTCTACTATTCGTCCACCTGGTATGAAACGAACGGTAGCTGCTGCGATCACCTTGCGGAATTGACGTTCGCCAACGGATACGTCCGTAGGAATCGGAATCGGAAATCGACAGGTTTCTCGATCGAGATAATAGGTCGCCAGGTTATGCTATTTATTAGACGACCATTAGCAATGGTAATATCGGGCGAGCTACTACAAGTGCCAACATAACTCTGGTGGGGCTCCGTCATTCATTGTGCATAATGTCGAATCGTCAATCTGTTCCGCCAGCTCCATCCCCCTACGATCATTTGTAATAAACGGTTTTCACCACGAAGTAGCCCGCCTATATTGGGGTGATATCCTGTAGGGCAACATGCAACTGTGGGGATGTCTAATATATATTAAATAGTTCGAGCTCGACATCGCCTGACCGGGTAGCTATACTCTGACATTCTAGGGTAGTATCCCTGCGGTCGATGTCTTCATCGATTAGACGATACTGCACGGTGTTGTGCAATATGAAGGCTAGACCACCACCATTATCTCGCTCGCGATCTTTACGTAAAACGTTGAAACCGGCACAATTCAGAAGATCTGAGCGGCTGTTCAGCTAGGTCTGTAGTCCGTTGCAATTAAATTGAAGTACCCGGGTCATGCCGGGGGTGATAGGGGTGGGTGACGTGTGGGTGGTATTTGTTACAGCTGCAGCACCCGCAGGGGCGGTTGTCGCACTGGGGTGTTGGTTGACGACGCCACTTTGTGTGTTGTGGGGCAGACTCCTACAGCATGGGGCAACGTACGACTCACTCCACTCAAGTGTGGTGCGCAGGCCGGGGGAAGTGACACCAAGGAGCTATGTTGCCTGTTTGAGCTCTTAGGGACCGAGGAGGTCCTCTGTTGGCCACTCGAGGTGAGTTTGCAGAGCCGTAGAGGCTAGCGTCGCAGTATTGCGTAGTCAACATGAGGCCACGTAACGCGTGGAGGTGGAGTTTGGATGGAACTTTTTTGCGCAAACGAAAGAGCAGAGCAGCAGAAAAATTCCTCCGTGCCCGGGTTGGACTGAATTCCGGCACGAGTCAGAAGGAGACGGAGCAACCCTGTTGCAAGGCGTTGCTCCAATGACGACAAACACGAATTAACACTCACCGATCCAAACGGGATTAGACCGCCGAAAAAACAGCTCTTGGTCGGATGAAATCCGAGTCAATTCTGGTACGTAGAACCGACTGTCGTGGGAATGGAATCCAATCGAATATACCGGCCAGTGTTTGACTTAAATATACATATTATCATACTGATAGCATACCACATTCGAAAAAAATGTTCCCCGGGGTCATTAAGGTACTTCACATACTATCACCAATCAATGGTGTGAAGTTAGCTGGATGTTCAAAAATCCTGTTATTTGTTATATTTTCGCCCAATTTAATCTATTTTAGACACAAATATACACTGTTATGAACAAAACACGCTCTCCCATTTTCATTGAGATAACTCAGATGTTAGCCTATTTATGCGGTACAAAAGCAACCTGAAATCCAAATAAATTTATATTAGGTATATGTAAGCTCAGGTAAATAATGATCCGATTCAACCCATTCTTAACACACAGACATACATTGTCAGGAAAGCAATATCCCTGAATTTCATTAATTATCTCAAACATTGACCGGTATTTTCGGTAAAAAGTCAACTGTAGGACTGGACAACAGTTCAAATATTCGGAACATAAGGGGCTTAAACAGTGTTTGTTGGATTTAGACAATTTATGGTGTGTGACTTCACTTCAAAGGCACTATTCCTGTTTTATCCCCTTATATTAGACTTTTAAAATATTATATAATACATATACATATATATGAAATATAATTTTCAGCTTCAATTATTAGCTTATAATAAATATTTTATATATCTTTATTACAGTGAAACGACCTCGAGCAGGAGATCCCTTTGACACATTTCCAAAAAATTTTTGGCAAGAATTCTCCTCCCCATTTACGGACACACCCGAAGATGAGGAGGCTGAAATAACGGAAACCACAACTCACGAACCGTTTCCTTTCTTTGCTGATCCATATACAACTGTAAACGTCAGTACGCAATTAAGTTCGAATGTATATCTACATTGTAGAGTCAACGACTTACAAGGAAAAACGGTAAGAAAAATTAATATTATAAGACAATTGATTACATTGCCAAGAATTACCTTTTTTCTATTCATTAAATTTCAAGGGAAAATATCCATAAAAGGGTAATTTTCCAGTACACCCGGATATACTTAATATAAATAAATTAAATTTATGTTTTGTAGCTAGATCTAACTTTCAAAAAACGTGCTCATAAATTTCAGAGAATATGTGTAACAATTGCTTTGTGTGAAATATACGATTAATATTGATAAAACTCTTCTTTGAATTCTATCACTGGATTTTTAATTAAAAGTTACTTGCCTTATTTTCTAATTCAAAAGCGTTATTACTCCCTATTCGAGTTCACAACTTCTTACTTGTAACTCATTGACAATTTATATGGTTACTAATAGCCCTGACAGACGAGCAAAAATAATGCGCCTTAAGCAACGCTAATGCGCATTGAAATTTTATGGTGACAGACGGCAGACTTGCGCATAAAAAAAAATTGTGAAATAAAAATGAATAAAATAAATTATTAACAGAAATTTTGGTATTTTTGGAAAATCAATATAAATTTAACGAAAAAATTCGTTTATTATTAACTACGTCAAAAGACATTTGAGTAAAATTGAAAGTAATAATTGATTGTAATGCGAAAAAAGTGTGCGAAAAAGTTAAGAATATTCTAATATATCTAAAAATACTAAAATTTGTTTTTGTTAATATACTAGCACATAGTTTAATTAGCAATACAAAACTGCTTACCTCTGATGCTGCAAACGCAAAGGAGGCAGCAGACTTCAAGCGACATCTGTCCAAAAATAGCAAAAAATTAGCCATTTTGAGCAGTGTTGCCTACACAAATTTGGTAAATTAAGCTAATAGTGGGATTCTGTAACCAGTCTCTAGTCTCTATTTGAGCCATTTTGTGTTTAAATCAATTTCAATTTGTGACTAGTTACTATTCACTAAAAAGTCCCTAGCTTTAGTCTCAAAATATTGCCTCAAATTTGAGACCTGGTAGTTAGCAAGTCACAAAACCAAAAAGAACTCTTGTCTGCCATTTTGAACATACTGAATAGAGATCACCATAAATATTAATCGATTGTCGTTTTTTTATATTTTGTAAGCAACTCAAACACGAAAAGGTTAAAAATAAATAAATTTTACATAAATTTCGTTAGTATTATGAAACAAAGCCAACATATATTTTTATTTTTATTGATAATTATGTTTTTTGACTATGTTATAGAAAATTTAATATTTGTTACGACATATTTATTTTCATTCAAGTATAAAAACATCTCTGAATAATAAAATGTAATAGAGTTTGTGACTATCATTTACAGAATAGCAAAATCGGCTCAAGTCTCAAAAATTGTCTCTGTCAAATTTAGAGACTTGATACTGTATCACAGTACAGAATCGCACGGTAAATGCACGAAATTCTTGTGCATTGCCAACTTGCATCAACACGGGTCAAATGCGCAAGTAAATGTAAATTAAGCCCGCTAATGCATATTAATATGTGTGATACAAAAACACAGATTATTTTCGGACGAATTCCATTATACAAGGTTGTTCAATAAGTTTTGTCGTTTGATAAGAAAAACAAATTTGTACGATTCATAATACACTTTATTATTCAGTATAATCTCCCTTAACATTAATACACTTCCTCCAACGATAATGCAATCTGTGAATCCCATCCCTGAAGTGTGAATCCGGAAAGTCTGCAAAATGCGCTTCAACAGTCAGAACACATCTTCATTTGATGAAAAACGCTTACCAAACAGAAATTTGAGTTCTGAAAACAAAAGGAAGTGCTGGGGCCAAATCTGGTGAATACGGTGTATGCTCAAATAATTCGAACTCTAATTCATGGATTTTAACCATTGTAAAAATGCTCTTGTGACACGGTGCATTGTCCTTTTGGAAAAGGGTTTTTTTCTTCTACAAATCGTTTCTTTTTCACGGAGTTTTCCTTCAACTGGGCCAAAAGGTTGCAATAATATTCAGAATTAATTGTTTTACCTGTTTCCAAGTAATCTGAAAACAAATATCCTCTCGCATCCCAAACAACTGATGACATAACATTCTTGGCTGATTTCCGGTCACGAACTGGTTTCGAAGCCGAAAACAAGGTTCACACCACTCTTTAGCCTCCTGTTTTGATTCAGAATCATGGTGATAGACCCAAGTCTCATCCATAGTGATGAATCGACACACAAAATAGCTTTTATCCTTTTTAATACGCTCCAAATGTTGCTGAGAAAATCGCGTTCGAACGTGTTTTTGTTCCATTGTTAGCGAATGCAGCACTTATTGTGTAGAGCCTCTACTAAATCTCTCTCAGTCAATCGACGATCTTCCAAAACCATATCCTGTATTTTGGCTGTGATTTCTAGTGTTGATGAACTTTTTCCGCGTCCTTCAGGTGGATCGTCTTCAAGACTTGTACGACTACGTTTAAATTCAGCAACCCATCTTTCTATTGTTCTAATTGTAGATGAACAATCATTATACACTTTTAATTCGTTCGTGTATTTTTTAGGTGCTGCACTTTTCAAAAATAAGAATGCTTTAAAAACTTTCAAAATAGGCTAATTCTGCGTTGATGCAGCGCGGGCAGTGCGATTTCCAAGCATTGAAGGCGTCACGGAAGACAATCTCCGCAGTAGCTTTGAGAGCCGATGTGCACGCTCCTTGGATACCCTCTGTCGTCTCAAAATGCTTGCTTTCATCTGCCTTTTCAGGCAAGAAAACAAAAAAGTCTGGGGGGATCACATCTGAGATGTACGGCGGCTGAGGAATCGTTGAGATGTCGGTCTTAGTTGTGGTGTAACTTTCAATGCGATGTCTTGTTCGACCGGATTAACCCATCGTTTGAGTCTTTTGAGGACTTCCACTTGAAACTCATCTGTGGTTTAAATTTGTATAAAGTGTTCGTAGCCACTCAAACGTTACAAATCACAAAAGTTATTTCAGCCAAACTTGCTGAGGTCTCAGCCAGCGTTAAAATGAACCAAATCATATGCTAACCACATCCATTCCCCACATAACGATTATATAGAAAACTACTAAAAGTGTGATCACTGAATTGAATTCGTAAGAACTTACTTAGTAGTTTCTAATTCTGCCTAGATAAAACTTCATGTAAGAATTGAATAACAGGCGAGGAACCTCCCTTCATCAATATTAGCGATATTCTTTTTGAGAAACTCTTTACCTTCTGGTGTTGGCAATACTGGAAATTGTAGCGAAAGCGTTCAACTTTATTGACTAACGAAATCGAGAATGGATTACAATAAAAGTGAAAATTAGAATAAATTACTCTTAGTCGATTGTATCTATTTCAGCCAATACCACATGCTATTAGCATGACAAATACTAATTAAATGCTCTCTAGGTTGCATACCATTACCAATCTATATGAAGTAAAATCAGCCGGATTATCAAGAAAGGATTCTCTACATATATCAACTATACGTATATCCCACACATTGACCCATATTTTTAAAAAATCAACTATAGGCTCTGGGATTCGGTACATAGAAGCTTGGAAACTTTCGGTTCGATTTTGAAAATTTTGACAATTCAAAAGCATAATTCATCCAAAGTTTTTTTTCGTCATATTAAATATTGCTTTATTTGTATATGAGGTATATTATACAATAACTTATCAAAAGGCGGGAACACTGCCACTAAGTAATGTTGTCAACCACGGATGCCGCTTGAGGGAATAAATTGGACAATGGTATGTCCTCGTCGGAATCAAATGCATGGAATGAGCAGAATAGTCGCTATCGTCCTCAATTGATTCTAAGTTGGAGGGGGTTTCAGCACAATCCAATCTGAATTATTCAAATTCGTCAAAAAATATCCTGATTTATTTATCACTGAGGTCTTTTCGTCACTTGTCCATATTATCTGTTCACAAAATATTATAAATAAAATATTTTTCAGTACAAAACTCGCGGTGGTCTAAAATTAGTACCACTACAAAAATTACTCCATACACATAAGCGAAGCACTTCCATATAATTTTTAAAATGAATAAATACTTACCCTAATAGTAGTCTCCAAAGGAAATAAGCAAAAATATTTTCTGTACTTTTCCACACCATATTCCATTTACAGAGAAAATTTAACACGATGGCGCCATTAATCCGTTATAATATTTGGTATACATTCTAACATGTGAGCCACTTGGAATAAATCGAAATGTTTGTAGTTAAAAAAATTTACCACCTGCGCGTAAGTTACCAAAAATAACTGGTACAAATTTTAGGCCGCTGCTGCTAAAAGAGTTAAGGGCACTTAGTACAGAATCTGGCTGTTCTATTGGTTAATTAGAGCTACTTAACCTAGTTTGCTGTGATTGAGATTGATTTGTAGAAGAAACATTAACAATTATTTTACTATAGTGGCACTGCTAAAGCTTACTCAACTTTAATTTTTTTTTACTTTTTTATACGCTATGGAAATGGGTAAATACAGGTACGGAAAGCACACACTACCCATGTAACAGTTATGTTAATAACTACTTAAAATGCGATAACTGAATAAATCACAAACAAAAACATCAAAAACATCACAACCAAGCACGGTCGCAAGGCAATAATTTGACAATGGGCGTAACCATTTATGTGAAATTCTACATCTCAGGAACAACTTGACCAATTTCAAACAAATYTAGTGCATGACAACCACGCATATTCCCATATAACGAACATCTAATTCCATTTGATTTTTTTACTTCCCAGTATACAAATCCAATATCAAAGAAGTTATCAGAAAAAAACTTTGCACAAGGTATTTTATCTTTAGCCCAAAAATTGTCGAGATCAGATTATAACTTTTCATGGATCAGGATTTTTACGTTAACAATATGTTCTAGTTTTGACCTTTGCTAATCGCAAAATTATAGAATGTTCGATTACACCCGAACTTAGTCCTTCCTTAGGTGGAAAAAACGAATCATTACTTTTTACGAGCTGATATCAGTCAGCCCATCATCCTGTTGATTTTCGTATATACTCTATATTTTGTAATTGTAATTACAATTTTTTTTCAAATCTGCTTGTTAAAAGAGTAAGTAATAGTGCGTGCTAAAGAAATTAAATAAATTTGGTGGAAAAAGGTAGAAAATTCACAAAATCTGCTCATCAATCCAGAGAATCCAAAGCGCGGTATTCAGGTGTAATCGAGTGCAGAAGAAGTGACTTGCAACCTCAGATTAATTTGTATAGGAAGATTTTATTTCGACGATATCACTTTTTATTGGAAAAATGGAACAATGTGTACAAAACTCCCACCGAAAGTAAATACCTTAAAAACATAAAGCTTAAGTCTACTGCTGTAAAGAAAATTCCGAATTTGGAAAATAAGGCTGAATTCTCAACGGATGAGGGATAACTAGCTAGAGAAATGGAATGGATTCTAAAAACAATACCAGCTAAAAGCGAAACGCTTACACCAAAAAATAGTTTGCGGTCTCCACCAATTATGGTGTCTGGAGATACCAACAGCAGTAATTATCAGCAACTACATATTTGCTATAGCAAAATCAGAAGCAACAAACAATTTTATCATTAAACTTTTAAATAATGGAATATATAAAGTAAATACTTTCTCTATAGAGGACTATAGATGCATATCAAAAGCACTTTCATGTATAAATTTTGATATAGATTTTGATTAGAGTTATTGTACAAAGTTTTCACAATTCTTATGATCTGAAATCGATTATTAATGAATTTAAAGAACAAGGATTAAATGCACTGAGTGCTGCCAGTCGTTTCCAATGAAAAACTAAAACTCCCCTCGACATGTTTTGGTAACATTAGATCCCATGGAGAACATAAAAAAAATTTACGAAACCAAAACTATATTAAACTCAATTGTTTCTATTGAACCGGTAAAAATGCTTAAGATGATACGACAATGCAAACATTTCCAGTCATTTGACCACACAGAAAACTATTGTGGCAAACAACCAAGATGCATTAAGAGCGCCGGTATGCATAAGACTGAGTGTTCGAAATCAAAGAAAGCCTAAATGCTGTAACTGTGGCGAAGCACATCCCGCCAACTATCGAGGGTGCTTTGTTGCCAAAGAATTACACAAAATACGAGCTAACACAATTGGCCACAAATAGGTGATGGTCTAGCCCAAAAAGTAGAAGGTTCTGTAGAATTCAGAAAAAACAATGAACATCATTAATAAGAAGATCTTTAAATTATACCTGAAACATCAAAAAAATCTACTTTTGCTTTGTTTTAAAAGCAAATAGTAATGATAATACATCTAATAATAGCACTCTATCACAGATCTTACAGAAACTAAACAAACAAGACGAATTCAACACTTCTTTACAAAATTGCTTATACAAGCTTGAAAAATATCTCTTTCTATGGAACTAAAATGAGTTAATCAAACATAAGAGTAAAGTCGAAATTGTACTGAACTCGGAAAATGTTGACGTATATATGATATCGGAGACACATTTTACGCCACAAACCTATTTTAAAATTAAAAACTATGAAACTTATCATACAATTCTAAAAGAGTTAAAAGTCCACTCTCACTTACCCCTGTGTACAGCTCTCCAAGGCATCAAAACCAATTTGAAGAGTGCCAACACTTAATAAACAGACACAGGTATAAATTCATAATGGTTGGGGAGTTCAACGCAAAGAACACGCACTCGAGTTCAATGCTTACGACTAAAAAGGGGAGATAACTCTATAAAGCACTGCAGTAACTTACCATCATATTGGCCATCAGATAATCAAACCGGATTGCAGACCAGCAAAATATCCCGGAACTATTTGTCGATCAATCAGGGTTATGAACTCGGATTATTCTCCAATCTATTTAACCTATTGTGAAACCGTCATCTTTAAAGACAAAATAGCGGCTTTGTATAATAAACGTACAGATTGGGAATACTTTAGAATGATCATGGAATGTTACGAGAGTAAATATGACTCTAAATTAAATACAGACCAGAGAGTCTTAAATTTTACATTTTACAACAAGTATGCAACACGCAGCTTGGGAAAGTACACCGGAATTAAGGAAAATTGCTGTAAACTCTCAATATCCTAATGATATAAGAGAAGTTGTTAAATTAAAGGGAAAGCTACGATGTAAGTGGCATAAAACTCGTTGCCCAGCTGATAAAACCCTTTTGAATAAAATTTCTAAAGGTTTCAAAATGAAGTTTCGCAAAATATCTACAATGTCCATGTATGTCCCATTAACATAAGTGCTGATAGCTGGGCCAAAGATGATTCAAAGAAAGCAGAAGTATTTTCGGATTATTTAGCCAAAATATTCTTCCCATATGAAACACACGTAAATAATCCTACTGCTTCCAGTCAAGAAAGCGAAGAAATCTCAAGTTGTCACTGCTTGAGCTAAGTAAGGAAATCAAAAATCTGAAAAACAAAAAATCCTCTGGTTCCTAAAACAGCTTCCTCAAATAATTATAGTAAAAAATACATTATTAATTCATCTTTTCATTTTCAATACGTGCCAACTTATTGGAAAATTGCTCAAGTTGTTATGATTTCAAAGCCAGGAATACTAGGATATGATGTATCTTTTTACAGGCCCATATCACTTCTACCGATAATATTGAACCTTTTTGAGAAAATTCTCATAAAACGCAGGAGTTCTACAAGGATGTGTGTTGGGCCCTCTTCTTTATATTCTAATAACGCACGACCTGCCAGCCGACTGCAATTATTCAACAGCCACATTTGCAGATGATACCGCGTCGCTTGCTGTTGGTAGTAGTGAACACGAGTCCACTACTAATCCAAAAGCTGTTGATAAGGTCTTACAATGAACAAACAAATGAAGAGCACGAATACCGTACTTTAATTCCACTAAATACTTAAGAATAATGCTTGACTCTATGCTACTGAGTTCACATAAAAACAAATGTAAAGTAAAGGTTATTCGGTAACAAATCAGTGTTATCTATCGAAAATAAGTTCCTTACCTATAACCAAATACTCCGACGGATATGGAGCTATAGTGCACAACTCTGGGGGTGTACTAATACAAACAATAAGGAAGTCATCCAACAATTTTAAAAAAAAAGTACTAAGACTAATTGTCAAAGAGCCTTGGTATTGTATATGTGCTGATATAGAGCGTGATCTAGGCGTAAACTCGATTAACGTAGAAATATTAAAAATTCAACAGCACATAGTGCTTGTAAATCATAGCCAAGTTGCTTGTTAGTCTTTTCTTTTATTTGAACGAATTGCAATGTATAAACCAAATAAAAAAAAATCATATAATTATAAAATTGCCTTTGAATAAATAAATTGAGTTTCTGTTTCTTGATAATCTATAACCTTAAAACACAAAGATAATCACATGAAGTAAGTATTAAGCTGATGACATATTGTTTACTACTTGTACATATAAAGGTGTCGTGGATGCGTCGCAAAGGTGATGAGTTGGCCCTGATCACATTCGGTCTTCACACGTACAGTGGTGACGCAAGGTATTCCTTGGAGTTCGAAGAACCAAATGACTGGAAGCTTTCAATACAATATGCAAATGAACATGACGAAGGACCGTACGAGTGTCAAGTCTCTTCACATCCGCCTTTAGTATTGTTAGTATATTTAACTGTAATTGGTAAGTTGTAAAGAATTATGCAAATTCACATACTCTCATTTTTGCATTTCTCTGTTTCGCTGTCTTTAGCACATTTATTATATTCTCTATGATTGTCAAGGGTATTTTATCATTATTGTAACTTACATCACAGTGATTAATGACTTGACACAAAATGTTAGAAATATGCAAGAAGCTAATATGTATTTTAATTTGTGCACGTATTGCAATTACCTACAAGCTACAGAACGTCCAACGTGATCAGTTCTGAGTAGCAAGGATACTTCTACAAATGTTAAATAATATGAGTAACTCTCACTTGTATAGCCTTGCAACCCAGTATTACAGGTTTGTTGACCTAACGGTTCAACGTATCACCTAAAACTAAACGACATAGATACACGGTTATCAAATTGAAACGTGAATTTTTAATTCATACTTCGCATGTTTTTCGAATCGGTACGTTTCTTTCTGTAAGTTGGTAGTACTGTAAGTGTCATCTTTGCTAAATTTCACGCCAAAATATTCATTAATTTTTGAGATACGCATCGTTATGTGAGCCTCTAAAAGTGAATTCTTCGATTTTTACTGTGTCTGAATTTATTGAACAAAGAAGTGCGATAATGCACCATGTCATACTGCATTGGTTTTTCGAGATCGCTTCGCCACATTTTCAACTAATATCGTGCCGCAACCACCGCATTCGTCCGATTTACTTTCGTGTAACTTCTGGCTATTCAGCAAATTCACATGACCACTCCGAGGAAACCGTTTTGACCCAATTGAGGATGTAAAAGCTGAATCGAAAGAGGCTCTGACGATTTTTCCAAGGAGGTTTTTTCCAAGTGCTAAGATGACTGGAAAATTCGTTGGCATAAGTGTATTGGAGCTTGAGCGGATTAATTTGAAGGAAATGAAATGGACAAAAATCATCTTTAAATTTGATCACAATAGTATAAATGATAATGATGAGAAAAGTTGATATCCGGTTGACTGTCTGTCTGTTCGTCCATCCGTTCATCCGTACAAGCTGTAACAAGAGTAAAATTTGAGAAATGTAACTTGGTAGGTGGGTTCCTATGTACAAAAAGAATTTCGAGATCGTAGATGGGCGTAATCGGACCACTGCCACGCCCATAAATCGCAATTAACCGAAAACATATATAGTGTCATAGCTAAGCACTAAATTAACATACAAAGCTGTTATTTGGTACAGAGGATTGCACCTGTGGGCACAATTTTTTAAAAGTGTAAGCCCGCCCTCTACCAAAATTAATGTACATATCTCCTAAATCACTTAGGGTTCAACAACCCAATTTGCTGAGTTTAAATCTTATAAGAACTTCTACCGACCATGTGAAAATATATGAAATCGGAGGATAACTCCGCTCACTTCCCATAAAAACTATTAAAAACGCGATAAATATGTAGATAATTAAATACGCCAAAAACCAAAAATATTTTTTCTGCGATGGTATGAGGGCGCGTTATGGGAGCTGGAGTGAATGGGGGTGACACTGCCCACTTTTTGGTGAAATCCCATATCTCGGGACCCGACAAAAATTAGTGTGTGCCACCTTATGACCACAAATTGTTTAAATCCAATAAAAACTGTTCAAGCCTCTAGGTATTTAGACTCCGATACCTATAGTTGACTTTTGATCGAAATCTCTTACAATGGTATGTTTGTATATCAAAAATGGGTTGAATGGGGTCAATATTTCCCTGAGCCCCATATACCTAATATAAAGATTTTCGAACTTCCAGGTGACTTTATGCCGCATATATCGGTCAATATGTGAGTTATCTCATCATATCATATTGTACTATAATAGGATATCCCTGTGCCGAAAAAAGATAAAATTGGGCGAAAACAAGGGATTTCTTAACATCCGATTGACTTTATTTACTCAATTTATATTGGTAAATTATATGTATGTATGTGAGGTACCTCAATGAACCTCAGTGTATGAGTTATATATAGTATATGCATTCATAAAATTTGCTTGTATTTCGATCCTCTGGTTGAGGTTAAGGTATTTTCCGGCTTTAATTCTTGCAAGTTGCAAGAGTATAAAATGTTCGGTTGCACCCGAATTTAGTTCTCCCTTACTTGTTGCAATTAGAATGTAAGAGGAATATTTTTTTTGTTTAATCGAAATATTTTTTATACACTTTATAAGTTTGAAACGAAATTTCTATCGTTCAAAAGAATCTTGGTAAAGCATATGATGTATACATAGTATAATTGGTCAGACTTATGTGTGCTGAGTGGATTTGGTAATTTCGCCTGTCTGAAGGTATGTCCAGCCTTCTGTATATACACGAACTTGTCCCTCAAGTTTTGAGACACCCAACTAAAATTTTGTATAGTTTACGATCGAAAATAAATAGTATTGGACTACGAATTAGTATTTACTACATGTATAACGATTTTCGTTATTCGTTATAATCAGTATGTGAGCGCTTTATTTATAAAACTGTTTGAGAATATGGTTACGACAGCCAAAGGTTAATGCAATGTGACTTTTGACTTGTCGGCTGACTTTAAACCTTTTAGGTTGGAAAAGTTTGTGGAATTTTAAGGAAATTAAGTGGACAAGTTTTCCTAAAAACTCAGTGGTGTAGCGATGAATATTTAAGTAGTTGGTGTAGGCTTTGATTTTAACCTCATAGATGTGACAAAATGAATTCCGATCCCCTGGCAGCTATATAGTCACAACACAAAGTACATGGAGAAAGTCTCCAAACCCCGAAAAAGGAAATTATATTTATAGAAATGAAAGATAAAGTATTTGATTTCACATGCATTTACATACGTACATACCATATGTATAAATTTATAACATATATATATTGTTCTCGAAAAAATTTTATGACTCAAATATCGATCCTAAAGAAATGACGTCCAAACATTTCTATCAATTGGCAGTTCCTCATGTGGAAATACTCGATGAACGAGATTCAGCCACTCCTGAGAAGTATTATAAAGCTGGAAGTACCATTGAACTAAAATGTGTAATTTCGAAAATACCGCAGCCGTCATCGTACATCACTTGGCAGCATGGTAAACGAATGCTGAACTATGACACCAGTCGGGGAGGAATCAGGTAATCGATAAAATTATCTAATTAAACTTATCGCCTAACTTATATTTTACTGTACCATAGCGTCAAGACTGACATGCTTCCTGGAAGGGCATTGAGTCGTCTTTATATTGCTAACGCAAATCGACAGGACACTGGAAATTATACTTGCATGCTTGGCAACGATATTTCAGGCACCGTCATGGTTCACGTCCTAAATGGTATATGACTACCCGCTTTTTTATTTATAAAAACATAAATTGTATTATTTACATCCCAGGCGAAGAGCCAGCCGCAATGCAACATGCATCAGGAGCTAAGTTGTGCTCTCCGATTTCGATTGTGATAGTTACAATGATGGCATCAAAGATTTGTCTACGATGACAACACTAATACGAACTATTTGACACTAACACCAACACCACTTGTCCAAATCTGCATTTTTCATGTCCGCATAATAAAGGGTTGTTTTAGAATATAAATAATAATAGGTGCATATTACAAATAAATGAATAGGATATGAACCGAACAATTTTTACAATACACAATAGAATAAAAATGTATATATAAATGTTCATAAATTATTGAAAAGATGTATGTTAAGACTTTAACTTTTTCATGTATACTTAAACTCACTGTATTATAATTGAATTTTTTTCATTTTTATACAAATATTTAAATACATAGAAATTTATATTTATAACAATTTGCAATGATCAAATATGTCTGGAGATTAACACATTTTCGGAAACGTCGATCCTTAGTGAAACTAATGTACCAAGAATATTGTGAACTGAGAAGTCTTTCTAAATTTTATTAAACGAAACCATAAGTTAGGTTCTAAGAAAATGATAAACTTCCAAATGCAAATTATTATTGACGATTATTCATATTTGGTATTCGTTAAAGGTCCTAACCTGGACATTTGTCAACTAAATATTCACATATTATCTTAAACCAAGTCCGCGAAACAGCTTCCAGTGAGAATGAAGTCAAAGAAGTCATGAGTAGTGCAGTTAATAAAACTAAATTCTATATTGTTAAAATTAATAATAATAAATTTCCAAAGCTTTTCAAGTCCATCTTAAATGTGTCGTGGCATTTCAAAACTATTTTTAATATTCACTGTGATCGGAACACAGTGATATTTAAGCTTCGAATTTTGTGTAAAATTTACATCAATTTAACACTTGTTTAAAATCTATAATTTCAGAACTTAAACTATAAAATTCTAATCAACATCATCTAGGATACAGTGTTGATATTACATAATATGTATGAATAAAACCAAGAGGACTATTTTACAAGCAAGAACAATTTAAACAATTCAAAGCGAAGAAAACCTTTTATATCAATTAGCTTACAAGTAAATACAAAACATTCAATTTAGAATTGTATGTAAAACGATCATTTAAGACGACGTCAAAGGCGAGAATTTGTTAATAATATCAGAGAAAGTTATGCGTAAATAAATTATATAAATACAAAAGTATCTCTGAGGCTAAACAACATGAAAGAGCCAAATTTAAAAAAAAAAAATTGAGAAAAAAATCGAGTGAGATAATGAAACAATACTTATAGAGAAATAAAGAAAGCATACAATTAACTGGAAATCAAAATAAAAATAAGTAACATATGTACTCGTATTTATTTAAGCAAGATTGTTACATTTTTTTACTCATAGTACATCCATAAATGTGTCATTAACGAAAACCAAACATTTACATACATACGTAAATACATACATACAAGAGTAGATGTGTATATGTATATCAATAGCATATATACATATGTATATCAATAGCAAATCTTGCGAAACATTTTCGCGATAGCAACTTTAAATTACTAAAAATAATTGTACGTTTTTTTTCAAAATAGATTCAAATTTCGACATTTCTAATTCAACACAATTTTTTGCCTCATCGTTACCATATTCTACCCCTTCTAATGGCAAAAGGTTTATCTGAATGATGTTGGAATAAATTTTTAATTGAGGTGATTACTTAAGATAACATTCGGCAATGGCTTTATTTTATTAATACATCCAGTGCATTAAAATCTTTTGAATAAAAATGAGGTGAAGATACTTCAAATAATTCTAATTTTGTTTATATGTAACTTTTAATAAATTTACGAAAGTACACTGAATATTTTTTATTATTATAATTACCAACGGGTCCAAAATGGACTGCGAAGTAGGCACGGGGGTATTCTCCGCTCATCTAGGCATATCAACCAAGCAGAATAACTACGCATAGAAAACGCCTACGAAGTTTTATTAGAAAACCACGGAAATATACATAAATGTATTGCACTAAGCTCACTAAAAGACAAGATCCAACTAAACTTGATCTGGATTCCCGGCCACAGGAATATTTTCGTAACAAAAAAACAGACGAGTTGGCAAAGACATCAGCTTTCCTCAACGAATCGGAGGCGGAGCTAATACCAAGCCCGCTAGGATCGCTCAAAGGAGAGATCGATAGACAAATTCAACAAGTTGCAAATAACAGGTGGGAAAACATAACAAAATGCGTCATAACTAAGCAATTATAGCCCATATGACAGGAAAAAAACCAACGACTTATTAAATAGGTCAAGAAAAAGCATATACAGAGTAACAGCTAGCTGGGCACTGGGCATTTGGGGAACACGCATCCAAAATGGGTATGCCCTACAACGACATTTACCGTGGCTGCGGAGTAGCAGGGAACAAGGAAACAATCTTCCACTTTCTCTGCGAATGCCCAGCTCTAGCACAAACCTTGAATGGATTTCCACTAAAAGCATATCGGACATAAGTAGTTTCATCGAAACCTCAAAATGGTTTGAGAGAGAGGTGAAACGTAATAGCAGATACAGGAGGTTCTACGAATAGTGTATCAAAATGGCACATCAAGTGCTAATTGAGCCCGTTAGGGCTGCACTCCTACCTACCTACCTAGAATTACTGGAGCTCGTACATATGAATAACATATTTACATGTGTATGTGTATTTCATATTTATCATATATGAAAGTTTACATGATTTTTAATCTAGGTATTGTTTTAATGAATTAAGAAGATTGTTTTAATGAATTTGTATCGGATCCTTGAGAAGCAATAAAATTATTTAAAGTCAAACTAATTAGTTTCTTATGAGCGGAAATTCATTTTATCGAAAATAAACCATAATTGTTAGTAAAAATCTTTAAACATGGATGCTGCTCATACCTAAGTTGTTACTTTAATATATTCCGCGGATAGTATTTCTCTACCACATAAAGAAGATACGATTTAAGAAAGAGCTTGTTTATTTTCGACATTTTACTTTTTATGAGAAAAACTGAAATTTCAGAGATATCAGCGAAAAAAAACGACTTGTGAAATAACGGATAATTCACTATTCCAATTGTCCTTTCAGCACTGAATAAATACCACGTTAAACACAAGTTCCTGGAAATAGTTCGCTAAATTTATTTCAATCATTTAGTTACATTACAAAGAGGAAATTTATATTAATTTGTAACAGCTGGTTTAGAAATCAAAATCAGTGTGAAATTTGAAAACAAAAAATTTTTTTTTGGCTTTTGTTTTTTTTTTATAATTTTGAGTATAGTTAATTATAGGATAGCCGCTCAGTTATAGCAGAGTTAAAGGGTTAGGTGGGTTTCACAGGTACAACAAAAAAGGTATTTTTACGATTTTTTTTTTAATACAAGCAATCATATATTTGAAAAATATAATATGTTGTATCAAATGTATACTTATATTCGAACAATATCTCCTGAAATTTCGATACAAAAATTTCGAAAATTCCTCCGTTAAGACCGCATTTCCCTGGGTGTCTCTCAAAAAAGTGCTCTGGCCGTGGACAGAATAACATATTATTGGTTCATATAAAATTAAAAAAAACTAAGTATATTCTGTTAGTACATATCTAAATCTCGTTTTTGAACGTAGGAAATAAAAAAATATTGAAATTGTCCTTCTTTTCTCGGACTTTGAACAAAAAATCTAATTTTTGGTAAAATTTTCGGCATTTTTTGGTCAGAAAAATAAGTTGTAATGAAACAAGAAAAAATCCTTCATTCAATAACTAGATAATATGATTTCAAAACCGTGTACACAATACGAACTAAATCGGTCGATAACTTTTCGAGAAATCGTGTCCACCGACTTCAAAAACACAGTTTCGAGAAAAACGCCTTTAAAGACAGGGCACTTAGCGCAGCTAGCCTTGAGTGCACAAGTTATTACTCAGATCAACTTTAAAATTTAGGACTATATTTTGGAGGTTTTGTAGAATTTAATAAAGCAAATAAAAAAAAATTGWTTTTTGGAAATTTTCAAACCCACCTAAACCCTTAACAACAGCTCGCCAGTCGCTTCTTCTTTTCGCTACGTGACGCGAATTGGATATTCCAAGCAAAGTCAGGTCCTTCTCCACTTAATCTTTCCAACGGATGGGAGGTCTTCCTCTTCCTCTGCATCCCCGAGCAGGTACTGCGTCGAATACTTTCAGAGCTGGAGTGTTTTCGTCCATTCGGACGATATGACCTAGCCAGCGTAGCCGCTGTCTTTTAATTCGCTGAACTATGTCAATGTCGTCATTATCTCATACAGCTCATCGTTCCCTCGAATAAGATATTCGCCGTATCCAACAGGCAAAGACCATAAATCTTTCGCAGAACCAATCATGGTTTTTTTTTTCAATCAAAGAAGTAATAGAAGGCTTGTTGGGAAAGCATCGTCCTAACAACTACGTTTTGTCGCAAGGATGTTAAGAGCGTTCTCGGAAATTGGTTTTTTTTTTTTTTGGTTTTTGCCAAAATGTGACAACTAAGCGAAAAAACATCAAGATAAGGAAAAACAGGGTCATAAGGTCATAAAAAAAGCTGACACATACGAACGCCAAACCCTTTGAGGGTTTTACTATACTGAAATAGTACCATCACCCTGACTTGGAATTTCTCACCCCCCAGACAATAATCCCAAAAATGTTCCCCAGTGATATCTATGATGATATCTATTCAGCATATTCAAAATGGCAAGCAAGAATTCTTTTTAGTTTTGTAACCTTTTGAGACAATATTTTGTGACTAAAGACTAGAGTCTGCGTTGTGAATAGTAACTAGTGAAAAATTGAGACTTTACCTCAAAATGTCTTTAATAGTGACTAGAGACTGCTTACAGAATTGCGCTATAACAAAAGTAATTTTTGTATAGCGTAATCTTGTGAAATCTAGTAGATTAGTTGGATAATCTCCTCAACAGCAAAAATCTCGCAATTAACTGTGCGATTTTATACTGTAATACAATCACAAGTCTCTAAATTTGAGATTTTAAGTTAGAGACAATTTTTGTGACTTGAAACGATTTTGCTATTCTGTGACAGTCACAAA